CGTCTAAACACATAGCCACTTAATTATGCATCAAATAATGATATATAAAGTGCAATGAGCTCATAAAATAATCCCGAGCACTAAAAATCTAGCTCAAAATACATTTATAAGAGTCTAAACTCAAAGATGTCTCAAACCACTCTCAGAACTCACACGGCACACTCCACGGTATCCGACAAGCAAAACGAGGCAAATAATAAAATAAATTCATAAATTCAAAAAAACCCAAAAAAATGGAGAAATAAAAAATCGAGAAACATCACAAAGCGCGTGCCGAATTTGGACGTGTAACATTGATTTACTAGGCCCCAAATGGTCTTTAGATTTGAGGTAAGGGATAATAACCAACCTCACCTCGTTTAAGTCGGTTTGCGATTTTTGGTGTGAGTTGGGTTAGACCGGGACAAGGGTCGAGGTGGTAGTGCATTTCATGTCATTGTTGCATTTGTGTATATGGACTAGTTGTGATGAATGTCGCCTTGAATAGATTATGTTGCTTATTGTTTCTTGTTGTCTCCGTGCATGATCCCGACTTTTCTTAACCCATTCTTTAGTTCTTGACTCACGGAAGTCCAAAGCCAATGCTTTAGGCATTTCCTACTAAACTGTTGTACTCACCCCTTCTTCTAATATTTTCAAGACATAGCAAGGAAGTTGTAGAAGAACCACCCGCAAGCTTAAAAGTGTGAGATATATATTTTGTAATTGGCTAATTTCGTTATCAAAACAAGTCCGATCGATTTGTAATTTTTCGGTTCAAAATTTCAAGATTGAAGATCGGATGCAGATTTGAAAAAATTCAAGTATTCATAGTTTACAACACTCCGGGATGATGAGAACAATGCTTTAGGAAGTTTTGAGAGGTAGTGAGAACACTAAGACAGAGTTTGAAAGTTTTTCTAGGAAAAATTACATTTTGTCCATCTTGAACTGGTTCAAGATTTAAAGAACAGGTTCAACATCAGTAGAATAGAGAAACCTTCAAGAAAGGTCATCTTGAACCAATTCAAGGAGGCTGAACTGGTTCAAAAGTTCTAGGGATTCTTCGAATTCCTTCCTAGCGTTCTTGAACTTGTTTAGCACCCTTGAACCGGTTCAAGAAGTCCAGACTGCTTTCCAACTTTCAGTTTCCTTATTTTGATTGTTTCCTTTTTGGACTAGACTTCTTTCCAAGTCCTATACATGAAATTTTCTATATTTTCAAAGGGATTAGGATATTCTAAACTCTATATAAACCCTGATAGTCTTCTGGGTTTATTCATGGCTTTAAGAAACATCAATTCTATATTTTGTGAAAGCCTTTAAAGAAAGAAGATTCAGAAAATCAAATATGATTATTCTGAATGTATTTTTGAAAGCATACACATATATTCATGAGTGATCTAGTAGTGTTGTTCTCTATCTCATCGAAATTGGAGCTATATTGAAGATTCAGATATTCCAAAGAAAAAACAGGATTTAATTCTTCTACATCGAGTTCAGATCTTTAAGAACAAAAGTAAAAGTGACCACACTTTGAAAAGGTCAAAGCATTCATGGAGTGCTGTTTGATCTACCTGTTACTCTTCTATAAAGATCAAGCAAAAGCCTGAGGTCAAGTTGTTGTTGGACAAGACGTCGTAAAGCCAGAGGATTGTCAGCAATTGGTGTTTAGTAGAACGATAGAGTGTGAGCTAGAGTCAAAGTTCATTACACTTTATTTCAAATATAGTGGATCGGTTTACTTTGGACTACATAAGCCATGAGGTTTTCCATACAAACAGTTGACGTATTCTATCAACTAGGGTTTCCTTACTAAAAATCCTGGTGCAATCTCTCTAACCTTAACTTACTTTACTTTTCAGTATTTCTATTTATGATTGTGGATAGTTAATTAATCAAATAATTTAATTAATCCTAAATTGAGTAAGTTAACCTAATAATCAGATCTAGGTCATTAAAGGAATTAATCATAATTAAAATCAACTAATAGCTTCTGCACCCCGCGTTAACACTGTTTTCAGAAAAAGTTGATTGATGTATTTTTTATATCTATAATATATTGCATAAGCAATGAACAAATGTATATGACCTTATTCTTTTGTTAGCTTCAAGAGAAGCCTTATAATCATGGACATGGAAGCCTTATTATTTTGTAAACTTATTCTTTTGGACATGGAATTATCCTTTTGGAGTATGTATGTAATGGATTATAGAGATTTTCGACCTTTAAATGATGAATCAATGAGTTATTTTGGTGATCAAGTACGTTGTTGTTGAGTTAAATGATGTGCATGGACTTATAATTGATGTTTGAGCAATTTAAATTGCATCTATACAGGTTTGAGAGGTGATCTAATCGATCACTTCATTTCTTAGCATCATTTAACCGGTTAGATGGGTCCTCAGATTTGCATGCTCTCTGGATTAAGCAATCTAACCAGTTAGATGAAATCATGTAACCGGTTAAATGAGCTATTATTTGCACTTTGACCCCAGATTTTAGTTTAATTACCCCCGGACATCATCCAAAGCACATAATAGCCACAGTAAATGATAGTTTTACCCTTTATGGGTTTTGAAACCATAATAAATGTACTAAATGACTATTTTACCCCTTTTTGGATTCTAAATCATTATTGACTATGCTAAATGACCGTTATGCCCTTATGAAACCTACAACTATTATAATGATGTGAAATGACTATAGTACCCTTATGTGTCCTCAGGTTCGGGTAAGGACCTGGATAGCGTTTCGGACTTTCCGATTTGGGTCATTACGGATTTGGTATTAGAGCCATGGTTTGAAAACCATTAGGACGATGGGTAATGGCTTACCTAAAAGGGGTAGAAGGTTAAATTGTTTTGACTTTGTGTTACGTGCTAAAGTGTTTAATGTTTTTAAAAGCATCCTTACTTGCTATATGCTTACTGCTTAGATGTTAATGCGTTTTTGTGTTTGATGTTAAAGTATATGAGGCAATTATATAATTTAACCATGTATGCTAGGTGTTTTGGTATTGTAATCTATTTCAAGCATGTTAAGTGCCTAAGTGTTTATCATTTCATCGAGTGAGTTGTATAAGGACGTCATTTTGGACGGATTTTATAGTTTTCTCGTTGTTGAACCGTTTTTTCATTTTATAGCGTTATGCCACAAAGAAGGGATACTGGAAAAAGTTCTCTAATCCCGTGGAGCGGGTTGAGGAACAAATTGAGGAAGATATGTTTTTGCATGATTTGGTCCCACCTAAAGAGGGACAAGCTAGGAGAAATGCAGAATTGCATATTTAAATGGGTGAGGACCAAGTTAGGCCACGATTTTACAGGAAGTTCTTTGAGTCACTGTGGCATCTTCATCATAAGTTGTTCCGCAACCGGTACAACAACCGAAAAAGAGCGAGTCAGAGAAGACTCTCGACTTCATTTTTAGGTTTATCAAGTTGATGCCTACCCTTGTTTAAGAGTGGTCCGGATCCGTTTGTGGTGGATAATTTCATTAATAAGGTGGAGAAGCATCTTAATACTATGGAGCTACTGTCAGATCGGTTACAGATCATGTTGGCTATATATAATTTCACGGGAGACGCGGAGATTTGGTGGAAGACCATTTCTCACACGCATGATGCGAGCACTATGAGTTATGATACGTTCAAGAAGTTCTATTATGAGAAGTACTTTCCGACTCTCAAGAAGAGAGACTTGAGGATAGAGTTTGCTAATCTTAGGCAAGGAAGCATGTTCGTCACTGAAAGTATGGTATAATCTGCAATTTTGGCAATTTCGACGGTTTTTGGGTTCGGAGGTGGTGGCGCGTGGTTATGAGGGAACGGTTGGGTGTTTGGATCGATGTGGGTTCAAATATGTCTTGCCATGGGAGAGTGGAGGAGTCTAATTTGGAGTTAAATTCTTCAAGCTTCCGTTGAGACTCCTTAGTGGTGGTGTTGGTGTCAACGGAAAGGTCGATGGTGCCCCAATCGGCGCCACAAAGGATATTCGTTGGACACGTGAAGGATGATGACATCGTCGAGGCAGAGGTAATTGTTGACCACCCACTTCACTGTGTAGGGCCTCTCATTGCTCAGGTCGGTGTCGGTTGCAATCTTGGTACGGTGAATTTTCGGCACCTCTTTTCAGTAAATATACTCTTTCCCTCTGCTTTCCTTTTGTTTTGTCCCCAGATTCTTCCCCTATATATATATATATATATATATATGTGGGTCTCAATAAATTTGATATGCAAATTAAATATAATAATTAAATTGAAACCTCAGAGACCAATTTTTTGAAGTGAATGTTATGGCGGAGAAAGTTGCCATTATTGGTGGTTGTGGTGGTGTTTGGTTTGCCATGGCCATTTCTATGTTTTTTTTTTCTTGCGATTGTGGTAGTGCTTGGGTTGGTTTTTTTTTTTTTTTTTGGTGGTGGTTGGTGTCTGGTATGGTGGTGATTGTGGTGGTGTTAGGAGATTACAGAGAGAGGGAAAAGAGGGAGGGCTTTTTTCCTCTCTACCTCCACCACCGCACACCTGGTGGTGGTGGTGGTGGTGGTGCTTGATTTATTAGTATGAGAATATATTAATTTTTAAGGGTATTTAAGCCAATCAAAAAGGATTGTATTGGGTAAATTTATAATTTAATGTGTCAATTGGTAATAAGGTCAATTCACCATTGTCAGATGTGTGGGGTGTCTTTGTTAATTTTATCAAACCTAAACGGGTGTCATTATTCAAAAATGACTCAACTTGTAATATGGCAAGCATTAGGGATGTCATTGTACTTTACCCAAACGTTAACATCCAAAATATCTTTCCTTCTGTAGAGATCCCGAATTCGTTCTTCGTTTTCTCCAACCCTATTTCCAAATATCAAAAGCAGCAAAAAGAAGGAGATGGAGGGTGAGGGTTTCAGTACTAAGTAACATTCAAGATTAGGCTATGGCAATAAAAGTATGGTATATCCTTGGCTTGGGTCCAAAATTTTAAGGCAACCATGCCCCCCTTTTTTTTCAAGTCAATGGAGTTGGAACTTAATTTGTAGCCTACTCAAAGGACCTCAACTTTCCATTAATCGAATAGAATTTCAGAATACAAAAATCCTTCATTGGCTTAGCATTTGACATCATTTGAACAATAAACTGGAACAGTAATTTCTAAGTATGAGGTTTCAACCCACATAGACTAGGTTTGAGCTAAATTCTGGATAATCAATAAGCCATCCACCGGAAAACAACATACATAGACAGTCCACTAAAATAAAGTTAAACTTAGCAGCAGCAAAACACCATATTGCTATTTTTTTAACTTCTGAATAGCAGCAGCTGTTTCGTACTGTTTAGCCAACTCCAGCTCAATTTTAGCCAACTCCAGCTGAATCTTTAGTTCTTTACCTGAAAAAGACAAAAAGGATGGTACGAGCGTGAAAACCAATCTCCTTTTTTTCTTCTTTTTTGATAAGGTGACAATCAACTTAGTTTACTGCCTTTCTTGAGCATTTTTTTCTTTTTTTCTTCAACCACTCTCATTGACCTAATGAATCAATTATCCTAATTTTGTATCAAAAATAATTACTGCGAGGTATTTGGCGAAGAAGAGCACAAAAGACAACAATACCATCATCATCATCATTATCATAATTATTATTATTACTACTATTGTTGCTAAATTTATATTACTATTATTATAATTATTTAGGTGAGTAACCATTTTTTATTGAAATCTAAATGAGAAAGTGTACAAACATAAGGGGATATAATGCCTTGTGATAAAAGAAGAAATGTTTTCAATAGGCTAAAAGCAACAAAAACCATAAAGGTTCAACAATAAAAGGAATAAGCAGGCAGCAGATAGCAGAGCTGTTTAAATTCACTCCTTTTCAATGTTCAATTTTCTGTCAATACAAACAAAACTAGCATTCATCTGTCAAAACAATAAATGAATGCACATAATTATTACTAAGAAAACTAGACTTCATCTCCCCATGACAATAAATTAATGCAAACAATTATTGCACAGGCTAGGCTTTAGCAATTGGCAACAAAAACACATAAAAGTCACCAAGTTTTTATTTATTTATTTTGGGTAAATGAACTTTGCATTCAACTAGATACCCAAAAATAAATATATGTAAGCAACAGAAGCAAAACAGCCATAAAATGCACAAGCACCCTAACAAAATTACAACCAGCAGTGAGCAGAAAATATAGCAATAGAGCTATCTGAATAGTTATAAAAAATACGAAACTAAGTCTTGGACCTAGGAACGAGGAGCGTTATTGAGGTTCTACTATACTTGTATAACCAGATCTCAGCATACGCACTTGATTCTCACCAACATATATGCGCACTTGATCCCATTGTACCTTGGTGTGAGTCTTGATCTTTTTATTGTAGGATGGCACGTCTATCACATCACTAGAGCTTCTTACATCAGCTTTTTATTTCAATGTTAACCTATATGGCTTACCTCCATCAACCTCACTGACTCGTAAATTTTAGCCTCCACTGCTTATTTCCAATTAGTCCATGTGACCTCTTATACTTACCCTACACAATTTACCTCAATAAGCCTCCTTTGCTCGTCACTGTGAATTATAGGACCATACACTTCCATTAGAAAAAGAGACTGAAAGTTGATATAGGTCCTCCCCTTCTCACTTAGACATTAATATGCAGCAACATATTTATGTCAAACATCGACGGCACTGCAAGAGACATTACAGAAGATACGAATATCAAGTCACATCTCCCTTACATCTGACGTGCACCTAGCCTTAGTGGTCATTTAGTTGTGCATTGTAACTACATTTCGGCAAATGAACAAGGCTCCTCCTCTTTCTGTGTGTGCGTGTGTATCCCTCCTAATATGATTTTAACAATTCAACATACCCAAACTCCTAATGCAAAGTTTTCATGTAATTTGGTTAAACCATCATCAGCATCTTGTATGACATTAACTATGTCGGGGAAAAGAGTATACAATGCCTTGAGCCAAGAACATAGTCCAAATTCCTCGTGCAGCGACAAGCTGCGGAGAAATATCATTTTAAACAGCCATAATATCATTTTAAACAGTAAAGCTCTCCTAAATTGCATTTTCTAACTGATGGAACCAAAGAGAAAACTTAAAAGACATAAACATGTTTGCACTCCATTGTTTTCTGTTTCATATTTGAATGCAAGTTACACAAAAAGCGCGGGCGCATGCGCACACATACACACACACACAAAAGGATTAGGATTTCAGGATCTTCTCCATTACTTTTCGTAATGCTTAAAACAACACATCTTTTGAGAAAATTAAAACAAAAGTTATTCAGCCCATGCGACATTTTTGAATCATATATTAAGTATCATCATCAACGGAGAGAGAAATTAATTTAGAGGATCTTGATACTAGTAACGAAATGAAAAGAACAGTAAGACTCTATTCAGATTGAAGGATTTGAAATGAATGGGTTTATTTTCAATTATTTAAAAGAATGCAGCATGGAGTTATTTAGATGACGAAATTAAGAAAGATGGAGAAGTTACTTTGACAAGTTATTAAATGAAAATCATTTGGGAAGATTAGGCTTAGAAGAATATAATAATCTAAAGGACAACATATTTTTTTCATAGGATCAAGGAGTGAGGTTAAACATGTAACCACAAAAAAAAAAATTGAAATCAGGAAGGGCTTTAGGATCAGATTCATTCCTATCAAGGTTTGAAAGTGTTTAGGGAATGTCGATGTGTCTTAGCTAAATAAAATTGTTCAATACGATAATAGTAACTAAGAAAATGTCAGACGAGTGACAAAGTATTTTAATACCAATTTATAAAATAAAGAAGACTGAAAAAGTTGTATTAATTATTGTTAGTATTAAATAAATGAGTAATGATATGAAACTTCGGGAGAGGGTGATTGAACAACGACTAAGACAAGAGACTGAAGTGTTGAAAAATCAATTTGGATTTATGCTGGGGAGGTCAACAATAAAAGTCATTTAATTGTTGAGGAGACTAATTGAAATATATAAAGAGAAGAAGAAAGATCTTCATATGATTTTTATTGATTGACAAAAACCCTGTGATAGATACCCGATATGGAAGGTTGTGCAATAGGAAGGAGTTTACATTGACACAATAAAGGACGTTTATGATGGATAACTGACTACGACCGTAGGGTAAACAAGCGAACTTCAGTTACTGTTGGTTTACATCAAGGGTTAACATTAAGCCCTAATGATTTTGCCTTAGTTGTGATGAAATGACAGCACACCACATTCAGGATTAGATTTCATAGTGTATGTTTGTGGAGCGAAAAATCCACACCAATGAGAACACGACAGCTGTGCAATTAAGGACTACTCTTCGTTTGACACGTGTCAAAGTTACAAGGCCCATCGTTGAATAGCAAAGACCCAAGAATGTCCCGGAGGACATTTGGCCCAACCCCCAAGAAGAGAGAAGAATGTTCTGAAGGGTCCTTTCTTATATATATACAAAAGGACCAACCCCCAATAAGGAGAGAGGAAGGGGGGGGGGGGGGGGGGGGGAGGGGGGGTGGTGTGTAAGGAAACTCTTCCTTTTCTGAAAATGGAAAATGGGTTGTAGGTATGAGTGATGGTCCCTGAAGCTTTGTTTGGCTGTAAATAAACAGCATTTCTTGTACCTACACTTTGCCGCCGTCTGTGGGAATCGAGAAAGGTTGCTTGCTCAGTTTATGGTACAGTTGCGATCTGGTACGATGACCGGACCAATCTGCGAGAAGAACTTCAGCAGCAGATTGAGGCCCTCCGTTGGGAGAACGTTGAGCTATGAGCAAGAGGAGGCGCCGCAGCCACCACCTCAACAGTTAGAGAGCTGCATAGTCTCTCCCGCCAATCACAGGATCGAGCCGGATCAATTCATTGAGAACTCCCAGAGAACAAAACGAGAATCTCAATCAGGAAAAATTGCCCAACAATCAAGCAGAAACCAGCTATCATGCCCCGCGGAGCTCATTGGTGGACCAAGTGTTCGATAGATTCTTGAACCGGATCTGAAGGCCAAGGTCCAAAGGGAAGTGGGGGAACAAATGAAAACCTTGAAGACATAAATCCCGACAGACCTAGCTGCTCAAATGTGGTCTCGCATTGTGGAATCACCCTTCACAAAGGAGATCCTCCGATCAGAGAAGCCTACGAAATTTTCGATGCCGATCTTCACGCTATTCGACGGAACCAAGGATCTGTTGGAGCATGTCTATCTTGTTCCGCAGAAAATGGCACTAGATAAGGGAGATGACGCCTTAATGTGCACGGTATTCCCCATAAGCCTGGTCGGACTGGCTCTCCTCTGATTCAGGCAGTTACCACCCGGTTTGATCTCAAACTTCCAATAGTTGTGCGAACTGTTTATCACCCAATACTTCGGCAATCGAAGGATAAAGAAAATCGTGTCGAGCCCCTTCCCTACGAGGCAGCAGAAGGGAGAAAGGTTGCAGGCATTCCTTATGAGGTTTAACCTAGAGATGAGCATGGTAGACCAATGCGATCAAACCGCGGCTGTGGAAGCTTTCAAGGTGGCGTTAATAGGCGGTACAAAGTTCCACACCTCTGGTGAAGACCCCTCCAGATATAGGTGCCCTAAACTCCAGAGCACAAGGCTACTGTTAGAGTTAAAAGGTGTTTAGTATTTTAATTGTTTACTTTAGGGCATCACTGTAATTTTCTTATCTCAATATACATATATATAAGAAAGGTGGTGTAGAAACTCTACAACCATCAGATTACGTTCTCTGATTTCTCCTCCTCCTTCTTCTTTTTCCACTTCTCCTCTCTAACCCTAGACACAAATTATCCTCACGAGCTCTATCTACTACCTAAGATTAGAGGTAGGGCTGTAAATGAACCAAACGTTCGACAAACAGCTCGAGTTCGACTCATTAAGAGCTCGGTTCGTGTTCGTTTGTTTAATAAACGAACCAATCTCAAATAAAACTTTCAAGCTCGATTAATAAACAAACCAATCTCAAACAATCTCCTACTCGACTCGTTTGTTCATGACCAAAGTTCATAAACGTGTTTGCGAGAATATATAATAATATACATATATTAATATATATACCTAAAGACATATATATATATATTATAATTATGAGTTCAAGCCCAATAAAATTTTCAAAGAACATTTAGTTTCATTTCAATTCATAAGTAAACCCAACCCAAAACTGGTCCAACCCAACTAGGTTCATATATTTTTTGACCCTTATAAAATGAAAGTGCTAGCCCATCCAATTAAAGGCCCATAGTCCATTTACAAATTGGAACCCTAATATCTATCTCTTCCTCACTTCCTCATTCACACAACTCTCACGATCTGGAGATTCCAAGCAAATCAGGTATGCGGTGATGAACCAAGCAAA